GAAATTACTTCCTTCCTTAGTGAAATAAACATCAAGGACTCCATCTTTCTGGTAATCTCTATCAGTCACATAGGCTTCCACAGAAGAAAACAAGATATTAAACAAAAACATTATTGATTTTCATTTAAGTCTAAATTCTGTGAATGTCAATTTGGGCTTTTTAGCTGTCTTTTTCTCTGAAGCGAGCTAGTAAATGTTTTTCAGAGCCGTATTTGTAGTCATTTGGGTTTTGTTTTGTTAATTGAGAATCTGTGAAGAGCATCTGTTACACCGTGTCCACAGCATCATCTCAGCCCCATTTGGTAAACCATTCTGCTGGCTTAGGAACATATTTAAAGCTGCCAAGAAGCAGTTAGGACAACAACTGTAATTGGACTTGTAAACTGGAAGATCTCTCTCTGTCTTGCTTCCCGCTGCTCTGTTGGACAGAAGCGAAAGGAGGGGAGAAGAGAAAAAAATCACATTCATCTTCTCTCTTGTGAACTGCTGTGGTGAAAGGGGATGTCCTGCTCAAGCTGCTGCCTAGCAGAAGGGTGCCCAAAGCTCCTAGTGCTGAGTCTAGCGGGGACCTGGTTTGTGGCTTGCTGGCTGGTGGTGGCTGGTCGTCTCTTCTTGCTGGGGCAAAACCATTTGTCTTAAGCACTGCTAGGGGACCAAGTTTTCTCTGAAGAGCAAAGTGTGATATACAATAATTTTGCAAAGCTTTTACCTTGCACGTTTTTTGAATAACACCACCTTTCTTTGGGAATTTGCTGCTGCCTTAGTTAGAAACAGCTATTTGGAAAAAAAATGGAAAATGCCTCCAAGGCTGGAGCCCTCAGCTCCTAAATCAGCTGATGTTTGATGATGAAAAGTGTTTCAGCTCGGGTGCAAGGCAAACTCTCATGAAACGTTCTGCACCAGGGCTCGGATAGCTGCCCAGCAGTGAGGCTGGACAGCAGTTGGCTGCGGAGTCTCCTATGATGTGCCACACGCTGTCCTCACGAGGGTGAGGTGAGTTTGGCTTTCTCTGACCAACTGACCTTAGTTCTTAAATCGTGAAGAGTTACAGCCGCAGTTACTGTGGGATTGCTTGAGCCAAGTGGAGTTGAATGCTTTCTCTGTGCTTGTTCTAACAGCTGAACTCTAGTCAGGCTGATGTTCACGTTTACCCGTGTTCAGGTGCCACTCAGGAGCTTGGTGGTAGGCATGTCTCGTACCGGTCAAGGTAACCCTATTGAAATCCAGGCCTGGGTGCGAGCTGTGCCTGCATGCATGTGTTTGTGCCTTTGGGAATGTGGCAGTGGCAATTTTGCAGTAATCCCCCATGAAGGAAGCCCGTCTGGGATGTCTGAAACCTTCCACTTTGTACTACTGGGGTGTAGAGTGAGTCCCTGCTGCTCAAGTTGTGTAACAGACTTAGTTTCCTTTAGGGCTGGATTGTGGGGTGGATCAGTGATAAATCTCACATTAAAGAATGAGTTACAAAGGAGAAGTGTGAGGTGGAAGAAAGCATTTGTGATGAGGGTAGTGCTGCCCATTCAGCACTGCTGTAGGCTGGCTGGCAGCTGAGTGCATGTGTGCTGGCAGCTCCTCCGAGGGCATCTTTCTTTGTGCTGCTGTTAACAGTGGGTTTTCCTGGATTGAAGGAAAGAGCAAAGAAAGACCTGGTGCTCTCCCTCTTCTGGGCTTTCTCACTTTGAAATCTCACTTTGTTATGAGAGAGGTGAGGGGCACTTTTCCATCACAGCAGCTACCTCCTTATTCCCTGTCATCAGTGCTGAGGTATCTCATGCTCATGCATAGCTTTAGGCTGGTATCAGTGCTCTTGATTTGTATATTCATAATATCCCAGCATTAGGTTAATCTTCCCAAATGTACTTTATGTGTGTGACCATGAAGATACCCTGAAACCTCGACTCATTTCCCTTGGCTGAAGCAATAACACTAAATTCAATGATGAGTACTTCATGAATGAACCTTTATTCATTTTTGAGTTTTATTTCAAAGAGTATGTGTTATAGAAGGTCTAAAGCATAAAATTATCCATGCAAATATAATTCCAGTGTAATGCCATTGATCTAATTCTGATTTCTTCTTTGTGTAAAGACTGCTCTGTCCACCTCCCACCACTTCCCAAATGTCTGTGGTTCGATGCAGCCAAGGCATTGGAAAGATGTCTCAAATGATTAAGAGTTGGTGATTTGATGGGATGAAGGTTATTGCAGTCACGTGGATTTGACACAGGCAATGTTAACATATCAGAAAGGAGGCAACTGCCTTGCCAAGGATAAGATGAGAAACATTAGCACATTGAGGGACAGAAGACCAAATCCTGGAACTATCATTTAGGCTAAGGAAATGCGTGCTATAGTCACAAATCCATTTATAGCCATTACTTTTCAGAAGAAATTCCTTCACTAGATTACTGGGAAATGGTAATATTATGCTAATGACAAAATGCAGATGTATTCTCCAGAATCCTGGAAAACACTTCGCTGAAATGGGAAAAGTGCCTTGGTTAATCTCTTTAGCATGTTACTCTTTCTATTTAGAAATTCAAGGTCCCACAGGACTAGTTCCAGGACCTCTGCTATTCACAGCACCCTCCCCAAAAAAAGCAATCAAGACACAGCAGTGGCCTCAGTATTGGTTATTTCTCGTGTGAGGGAGCTAAGAAAGGGCATGACTCTCCCTCCCAGACATTTCTGCAGAGTGAGGGTAGGAAGAGGAGAACAAAAGACATTCTGCTGCTCTCCAACTGCTGGCATAGGCAGTTGTTTTCTTTTCTCTAAAAGGACAGAGAGGAATCTGAAAAGAAAGGGAGAAAGATAATCAAAGGCATAAAATGAGTTTGGCATGAGGACAGAGTAAATAGAATAACATTCTTCAGTTCCAAAAGAGATACCAGACAGTAGCAATGACAAAGGTCTATAAAATCCACTGAGAAGAAAATCCACTTTTCCACTGAGAAGGTGGAAAAGGTGACCAGAGAGTGATTATTCACTGTTTCTCACAGCAGAGGAACTGAGGGTAGTCAAGGGAAATTATCAGGCAGCAGTTTTAAAATGAGCAAGAAATACTTTGTTCACAGAACAAGCAGATAAGTTGTGGAGCTGAATGTCACTGATTATTGTAGAGTTATAAATGAGATAATTCACGGAAGATAGATCTCTCACAGGTTATTTTAAAAACAAGGTGTGGATGCGACTTCTTGCTGCAGAATTTTCTAATGTCTAATGCTGACAGCTGCCCCATTTTGTACCATGGCCCTCAACTGCCCATACCTGCCAAAGACAAGAGACAGGGCTGGATGAACCCAAAATGGTCTTACTATTCACATACACATAGGTGGTGGTATTCCAAAATATGTTGTTGCTTTTGGTTTTTTGTCTGTGTCTACACAGATTTCTTTGGAATGTTGCATGTCTCTCCTGGTGTGGGACTGAGCTCCACACGTCAAGGGGCAAAGTTTGGATCTCAGTACACTTGAGAAATATTTGAGTGAGATCCAGTAGTTTGGCATGAGTCCTGTATTCCTTCTTCTTTCTGTCCTCACAGTACATTGCTGGTGACTCTCACAAGGTAGAATAGAGTAGGTCTTCAGATATATATTCCTTAGAGGAAAACAGTGTTGGAGGACATGAAGTAAATGCATCTGAATTAGAGCTATTCCAGATATTTTCATTCCTTCACTCTGCAAGGGACAAGCCAGCAGCTAGCTGTGGGTGCAGGCTACTACATGCAGTCCTGGACAGTTGTGCTCCAGGCTTGACATGCTGCCTGCTCTGCCCATGGACACATGTATGGACACAGACAGCATGGACATGCAGCCACCTGCAGAGACCCTCCAGGCAGGACTGCTGTTTCTGCTTCAGAAGGGCCTGATGTCCTCAAATCCTGGACGAATGAGCTGTGCTGGGTGATGCTGAAGAGAAAAAGGAATCCAAAATTGTCTTAATCTCACTTGTCTGGCCTTAAGTCCATGACTGTGAAAAGTGCTGTGCCACCAAGATAGAAGAGAAGGGGCCTTGGCAAGTGCAGTCATTCCCAAGGCTTGTAGTCTGCTTAGTGCTTAGGAGTAGCTGGAAGCTGTTTCCTAGTTATTATTATAATTGAATCATTTAAAGTTTCCTTCCTTTCAGCCAGAGGGTTTGTGGCTGTGCTTCTGATTTCAGACCGTCATGTCAATCTGACTGCCATTTTATTTACACCTTTCCTACTCTCTTATTCTCCGTTGTTCCAGTTTTTAGCCCTGTATTCAAGATAGAGGGCTAGGAATCAGGCAGATGCATGCTGCAGCCTTTTCATTTGGTTATGTGGTTGCCTTCTTTAAGAATTCAAGCAAGACTGTATCTGTGCTACTTCTCAATTTCTCACCGCTTGTGGATGAAACGCCTGGGCAGGCAGTAATTGCAGAGACCACTGTCTGCTTGCACCAAGATAGTCGACAAGGAGCCAGAAAGCCAGGAGCTTTTCTTCCACGTGTCTGTCATGGCATGGCAAAAGTGGCCATTTTCCTATCAGGGTTATTGTAGTGTATTTAAGAAACTTGCTTCTAAATCTTCATAGATGTAATCCTTTTGCATTTTGATATTTTCCCTCTTTAAAGTTTGCTACTATCTATACCATTTCAGTGATTTCAAGCTCACCTCCAGACTGGCAGGCGTGGAGTGGCCAGCTGGAACAGAGCAGGGCCACGACTGCCTTTTCTGCACCCACTCCTGGCAATAAATGCTAGACAAATAATCTGATAAAGGAGTTACATTGCGTTCGCTGTGTCAGCTGTGGAGCACAGCAAAGCTGCAGTTGTTCCTGGTGGAGGGTGTTCATGCCCTGGAGCTGTGCTCCCAGGAGTGCTGGTACACGAGGTGTTCCCTTCTGTCTGGGAGCAGTAACTTCTACTTCGAACAGCTTTAGGCAGCAGGCTGAATGCGTGCAGAGCCTGTGTCATCTCTGCCTCCTCTGTAGAGCCCCATCTGTCCAGGTAACCGTTTTGTTCTTTGGTCTCGTTCTTCTAGGGATATCTATGCCCATTCCGGTCATTGGTTTGCAGGATGACTCCAGGGTGTTTGTAAATGGGACCTGTGTCCTCAACGATGAGAACTTCGTCCTCATTGGATCCTTCATGGCGTTCTTCATCCCTCTCATCATCATGGTGATCACGTATTGCCTGACCGTCCAGGTGCTGCAGAGACAGGCAACGGTGTTCATGTGTGGAGAGGTGCCCAAGCAGAGGAGGAGCAGCGTAAACTGCCTCAAGAAGGAAAACAACGCAGAGAACATTTCAATGCTTCACAATCACGAGGGGGCATCCCACTTGAACTCTCCTGTAAATAAGGAGGCAGTGCTTTTTCGGAAAGGAACTATGCAGTCCATCAACAACGAGCGAAGAGCCTCCAAGGTCCTGGGCATCGTCTTCTTTTTGTTCCTCATCATGTGGTGCCCATTTTTCATCACTAATGTCATGTCTGTCCTTTGCAAGGAAGCCTGCGATAAAGACCTGTTGAGCGAACTCCTCGATGTGTTTGTTTGGGTGGGGTACGTTTGCTCTGGGATTAACCCCCTCGTGTACACACTCTTCAATAAAACGTACCGCAGGGCTTTTTCTAATTACATCCGTTGCCAATACAAGACCGGTAAAAAATCAGCGCTGCGGCAGAATCAGTGTCTGAATGTGGCTTCAACAGCTTTGTACGGGAAAGACCTGACTTTAACAAGTTATCGAAATGGCAATGAACTCAATAGCATGGAACTAGATGAAGCTGAGGAGGGCCTCGAAATGCAACCAGGGACTTCAGAGCTCTCCATAAACAGCTGTAACGTTGTAAGCGAAAGAGTGAGCTGTGTGTAAAGGTGGCTCGCGCAGCCTTTTGCTACAGTCTATCTGTAGCCAAAATACATTGTGTAAAAATGTAACTGTTGGTCAAAGGACTATGTAAATATTGCATTCTAAACAAAGCTTCTGGTTTTCTTTTTTTAAAGAAAAGAAAGAGTTGTCTTTCCAGTCCAGTACTTAAAATCATATCTATTAATATACTGCAGTGAAGTTTAAGGTTCTATATTTACTGTTAATACTAGATCAGAACTATTAGTTACTTTGCATATGTCATGGACAAAATGTTTGAATTCTTCTTCCAGTGCATGAACAAAAATGCTGAATATTTATCTCAGGTGGCATTTGCTGGAGTCCAGAATGGCACGTTAATAGTTATATATCAAATACATGCTATTAGACTTGGTCAGTAGAACTTTCTTTTTCAAGTTGACAGTAAATATATACTTTAAATCCTCACCCCTATTTGTGCCGTGTAAAGACTGTACAGAAACCTGGCAGAGGGACATCATGAAAGCATAGCAGCTGTGCAGGCCCCTGGCCAGACACATCCTGCTACGGTAGTGGCTTGCCACCATACCGGGCCAATCTTGCACTTTGAGGGACCTCTGTTAAATTTTGACTCCCCCTCGAATCCTACAGTTTTCTTTCTGTTCCCCAGGAGGCTCCCGCTCCCCTAAGGAAGGTGGGGAGTGCAGTTCTGGTGTGGTTTTGTGGTCCTGGCTGAGGTCACTTGTACACTTGGAGGAGTGAACCCCAGTGATCTGCTTCAACCATTTTATAAATGGTGTGCCTCAGATTCATAAAAATCCCTCCTTTGGTCTTACAGATAATGATGGGATGGAGCAAGCTGTGCTCAGTGGGGGTGGCACCAGCTTCACAGATTGCTTGGATGATCAGGGTCTTTCATGGAGCTGGAGAAGAGCGCTCTGGCTTTGTAAGAGCTCTTGTCTCTTCGGCCCTCACATCTATTTATTCCTTAGCTTGCTGAGCATTTGCTTTTATTCTTCAGCATCCTGGGACTTGCGGCGCTGGTGATAAAACACTGCTCTGGGTGCAGAGCAGAAGTTGCCGTGCATGTGGTGCTGGCCAGGGTTAGGCTGTGAGTTGTGGGGTTATGCTTCCCTGTGGGGGCTCAGGAGAGAGGCAGAAACAAGGGTCCCTGTTCACTTCTCTGGGCTCAGGAGGAGGTGGGCAGAGCTGGGCAGTGTATGGGACTGCAGTCATTTCCTAGTGACATGGTTCAAAGGCAAATGGTGACCAGGGACAGGAAGGAAGCAGACCTGGAGCTAGTCTACATGGAAGATTAATCTGGATTAACTTTTCAATTTGATTTATTCCATTTCACTCCCAAAGTAAATTATAGTATGTCGTATTAAAGTCACGTCTTAATGAAAGCAACCACATTGGGATTTAATGCCATTTAAGTAATCTGCTTTTAATTCACACCATGCATAATTTGAATTAATTTTACTTTGTGTTCCTGTGTAGACAAACCCTCCAAGCATTGTGTCTTTCTGGCACTGTGCCTCTGGGGTGATGCCTTTCATGCACTTCTCCTTGAGGAGAGTATTGTCTAGTGCCAGATATCACCCATAAGGTTTTTACATCTTCATTAACTAATACACAAATGCTGCAGTGCCCATCTAACATGGATGCATTTAGCATCACTGGCAGCCTCTGGCTATAAAAATCCTCTGAGCAGGAAAGCTACACTAAGTGTGAATAAATTGCATTTCAGTAACATAAGCTGCTTGTACTCTAGGCTCGCTGTGTTCATCCCACCAAAATTAACTTGTAGAAGAAATGGAAAATTCTGCTGGTGCTTTAGCGTAACGTGCTGTTGCATTGCTGTGTGCAGCAGCAACCTTGCTGAGGCCCCTACTGAAACACACCCTGCAGGTTACTTCTGCTGCGGGGATGCTCCCAGCTTGATGTGTTGAAGCCGATGGTCCTCTCTTCTCCTTCATCCCCTCCTGGGAAAAATCCTTAGTACTTCCATGCAGGCAGGTGAGGTGCCCCGACACAGAGCGGAGCTTGCAGAGGGCAGCAGAGATGCACCCTGCACCAGCCTGCTGATACTGCCATATGCTCGAAGGCCTGGGAATCCACTTGCC